TGTGTGAGTTTTTATGTGTGTTTATATATGTGTGTGTACACACTCACATCTACGGTCCTATAAGCAATTTATTTTATCATACATTAGTTGTAACCTAACTACTATCTAGAATTATTTTATACAGTCCCAACAAGGAAAGTGAAGATTATAATAATTAATTTTGATTCATTTCCACATATAAATAAAGTGGGGTATGAAAAAGTTGAGGGCATCTGAGAAACACAATTTAAAATCTTGATTTTAAGACACAAGCATTAAGGCTGGAACTTCAAACAGTACCTTAATAATGTTATTACTAAAAATTAAGTTGAAAAAAGTATGTTGGACAAATGCTAAATTAGAAAATGGAAATTTTCTAATTTTTTAAAATTGAAAACTGTACTGCTATGTATCAATGAACTAAATGAAAATTGCTTCTAAAAAGCACTTATAGGACTGCAATGTTAAATAGCTTTATAATAGTTTCAAATAAAAAATATTTAATGATTATTTTTTCTGCAAATATTAGGATAACATTTCTGGGAAATACTGATAAAAACTTTTTTTAACAACACAGCGAAAAAGAAAATGTAGGCATACCACTATGAAACTTCAAAATACTAATGAAGTTAAATTGCTTTTTTCAATAGTTTGTCACACAATAATGCTAGCATTATAAAATATACGTTAAAAAAAGCAAAAGCACACTGGACTTCATGATATAAGTGCATTTTCCAGTAGGACTGGTATTGCAAATGATGATGCATCTAAGTAGCCGGGTTTTACTTCTTTTTAAAAAATAAAATAGATGTCAAATGTTTTAACCATTCGAGTGAAAATTCAAAGTAACCATTTATGTCTAATTTATATTTTAATTCTCCAAACAAAGAAAGGTAGAGAATGCTATTAAAAAGAGATCAATAAATAAGTTTGAAACCTACCAATACTGGTAGCAGGTGTCATGCACAAAACTGACCCTGTGTCATGCAATGGTAGGTGAAAAAAGGTGAATAAAGGGAAGAAACAGGTTAGCTGTTTAGAGTTAACATTCAAAGATCCAAGCATCCCAAGGAAAAACCAAAGTGAGTTAAATAGAAATTCTAAAATACTATTCATAGCTTCATTGCTATTCTAAAACATTTCATTTCTATGTACAAATCTGTATAAATACACAACAAATGAAATTCTTTACTACAGTCAATGATCAGATGTTATCAATGTACAGTAAGTAGAACTTCTAGTCACAACCATAATTTGTTCGGTAACTTTGGTCACAACCTGATTTGGTCCTGACCTAAACCTAATTTTGGAAATTTGGTGATTACAAAAAAAAAAAAAGGCGCGGAAGGGGAAATCGACTGCGGGGGGGAGTGATTTTTTTGGTTGGAACCTGATTTGGTCATGGTCAAAAGCATTTGTGACCAGAGGTTCATGTTATGAATCATCATAATCTGTACAGCAAACATTTCCTTTAGTATTGAACAATGGGACATTTTCATTAAAAAGAATTCAGTTTGAATAGTATATATAACAATAACTGTTTTACAATGTGATCTCTATTCCTGCCAGCCTGGTGTCATCTGCAAATGTATATGAGTTCCCCTTCTATTCCCTCATCTAAGTCATTTATGAAGATACTGAAGAGTAAGGGGCCTAAGGCAAAATCTTGGGGTACCCCCTGCTTACTTCCCTCCATGTAAAGATAATTCCATTAAGGACTACATGTTGAGTGTGGTTTTCGGCCAGTTTCAAACCCATCTGGTGGTAACTTTCCCACATTTTTCTAACTTACTAAGAAGACTGTGATCTACTTTGTCAAATGCCTTACTGAAATCTAAGTAGACTATGTCCACAGCATTTCACTGGTCCACTCATTTAGTTACTTTGTCAAAGAATGAAATGAGATTGGTTTGGCATGATCCGTTTTTGACAATCCGTGTTGGCTTCTGGTTATAACTTTGCTTGCTTTTAGGTGTTCACAAATCTGTTGCTTGATTACCTTTCCCAGGATCTTCCTAGGTATTGATGTTAGGCTGATTGGTCTGTAGTTTTCTGGATCAGTTTTTTCCCTTTTTTGAAGCCTGGAATCACGTCAGTTCTTCTCCAATCCTCTGGTAATTTCCTGATGCTTCAGGATCTTTGAAAGATATGGTTTCCGAGATCACATCTACCAGAACTCTGGGATGTAATCCATCTAGTTCTGGTGACTTGAACTTATCTAGGGTGGACATGTTTTCTCTTACCATTTTCTTGCCTATTTTAATTTGTACTCTTAGTCTGTCTTTTACTGTTCTGTTCTTGGTAGAGGTTGGACTGTTTTTTTTCCTTTTGCATGAAGATGCAAAGAATGAATTAAGAAGCTCTGTTTTCTCGCTGCTACCCATCACTTCCTTGCTGTCTTCTCCCATTAGTGGACCCATTGTTTCCCTGACCCTTTTCTTGTTTTTTTACATGTTGAAAGAACCTTTTTAAAATGATCTTTTATTTTTGTTGCAAGTCATAGTTCATTCTGAACCTTAGCAACCTGACTTTGACTTTCCATTTTTTATACTAATCCTTTTTTGTCTTAAGCACCTTAATATTAAGCACCATTCAAATTGACAGAACTCATATGCATGAAACAACTATGCACCAAAATGTGTATATGTGTACAGTATTGTTAAAATGTTTTTCTAGAATATTCTGCTTGTTAACACTGGTTCATTTGGGGCATAGAGTCAAACTTTAGGTTACAGTTTACTATTATCTACCCAAGAAACTGTGAGTTTCATATTCACATGTTATTCTCTTAATGGCATCATATCGTTTTCTTTTGAGGTCCCTTTTATGTTACACATAAGGCCAAATCAGAAGTTGATGGATGGATACCTATGGGTTATTGCAACAAAGCAATTTCTATACATATTTATCAATGAATCATTGCCTTACTATATGCAACAGACACATAATGATAGGCAAAGAACTGATTCTACATTGGTGATTTTTTTTTAAATGAGATTTTTTTTAAAATGCCTCCATTGGAGCATACGGGAAGGAAAATGATGTTTGCTGGGAAGGGAAATCATGGGGCAGATTAACATTAGGCAAATAGTTTTAAAAAACTTTAAGATTCTTCTAGCACATATTAAAATGGCAGAGAGAAGCAGGAAAAAGAATGAAGATAAAATTAAGACATGTAATCTAATGTAAAAGTGATAGAAGATTCTTGTTATCTTACTGTCAGATTTTATAGCCTTTGTGAAACTTTCTCATATGATGTAGTACCATGATGGTGAACCTATGGTATGCGTGCCACAAGTGGCATACAGAGCCATTTGTGCCAGCATGCGAGCCGCAGGGAAACTTACCTCATTGCGCATGCACAAGTCTCACATCTGATTTTTCGGCTGGTTTGAGGTCTTTTTCGGCCTCCCAGAGGCCTGGAAAAAGCCTCTGCAAAGGCTTTTCAAGATGAATAGGCCCGTTTCGTCACTTCCTGTAATACCGGAAGTGACGAAACGGACATATTATTCGACCTGAGAAGCCTTGCAGAGGCTTTTTCCAAGCCTCTGGGAGGCCAAAAAATCAGCTGTGAGGTGCAGTGCAGGTAAGGGGTGGCGGGGGGTGGTGTGGTGGGGGTGGTATGGTGGGGATTGCATGCGCATATGCAGGGGCATGGGGAGGCACGCATTGCATTCTGGGTGCTGGCACACAAGTGCATGTGTGCTAACGTGCATGCAATTTTTGGCACAGGAGCCCAAAAAGGTTGTAGTACTGTAGTACATGGGGCCTCAAGTTACCATCAAATGAGATAGTAGATGGACAGTGTCACAGATATCAAACAGAATTTTTACTCTGGAAAGAAATAAAAGGGTAGCCTTCTGTATACAACAGAAACAGAGAAGGAGAGGGTAAATCCACCTCACAGGGTGACTGTTTGGAGGAAAAGCAGAACACGAAGCAGAAGCATAATATACTGATAGTTCTCAATTTACAACCGTTCATTTAGTGACCCTTCAAAGTTACAACAGCACTGAATGAAGTGACTTATGACCATTTTTCACAATTGCCACTTTTGCAGCATCCGCATGATCATGTGATCCAAATTCAGATGCTTGACACCTGCTTCCAATTAATGACGGTTGCTGTGTCCTGGGATCATGTGATCACCTTTTTGATCTTATGACAATGGGGAGACCAGATTCACTTAACAACTAATACTAATTTAACAACTTCAGTGATTCATTTAACAATTGTGGCAAATGTCATAAAATGGGGCAAAACTCACTTTAAAAATGTTTCACGTAACAACAGAAATTTTGGGCTCTATTGTAAATCAAGGACTACTTGTACCATGCCTTGGGTTGTAGAAAATAAAGGCAAGATATAGTAACAACCACAAAAGCAATGTATTTCCAGTAAACCTTCATATATTTGCTATGTCCTTCTGAGTTCTTCTAAGTCCTATATAGAAAATATCTATACAGAACACATATAGTTCTTCAAAGATGCCAAAGAACTGAGACAAGACTCAAAGGTGCTTTTTCAGGAGGCAACTGGACTTTCTTGTTTTTTCTTTGAAGACATTTTGCTTCTCATACAAAAAAATTCTTCAGCTCTGATTGGATGGTGGGGAATGGAAAGATTTATATTTCTTGCAAACTAAACCTTTGCCCGCTATCCAGTTGCCTCCTGAAAAACCCACTTTTGGGACAACCATGACCTGGAATCACTGAGAATCTCTACAAACTGAGACAAGATCGTGCCTCTTTCCAAAAGACTGCTGAAAGACCAGGTTTAATCAAATGGGTTCAGACTGAAAACTTTTGATCCTCTTTATGCACTTCTAAACATTTTACAATATTCTTTTAAAAGTTTTTTTTTTCAAAAAAAAAAAAAAGCCTTGTCAATGTCCTCCTAAAAGAGGTGGCAAAAGGACACAATTATTCAGATGAAAGCACAAGGAATGGGATCACGTGGGGGCTTTTTTTATCCAAAGACAAAGGAATCAAAATATTTCTTTACTTCTAAACAGAACTTACCTGTGGGAATAAACGATGCATGTTGCTGCAACTGTGCACTAGCAAGAGCCTGTTGGTAGTGCAAGAAACTGGGATTAAAAATAGCACTGGCACCATTGTTTTTCTCAAGTGCTTGTCTCTTTGGTAAAGGATGAAGGACAGCAGATGGAAAGGCCTGTGGATTAAATACACACATACACACACAAATACAAACACACACACACACGTGTATATATATATATATCCATATATATCTATGTACATAGATTTATATCTTAAAACGAGGACTGTGTAATTATTACAGCTTTTTCAACAGTTGAAGAAGCCTTGCCATGATCCAAAGGCAGCAATGTAAAATTTTATTATTACTGGCAATTAATTAAACTAAATTAAACTAAACTTATAGAATCATATTAGTAATTAGACAGAGCCTAGAGAAAACATTATTTTTTGAAATAAGGTTAAAATATTTGCGTTTGTTTCTATTTATAAAAGGCACATTATTTATTATAGAATAAACAGTGTCAATGATAAAAAAAATCACATTTTTTTCTTCACTTCGACTTTTAAAATAAGTCAATGGAAGATGAAACTTTGTTAGAATAGATGCTAGGTTATTCTGTCATATATAACATGTGAAAATTAGATTACTTAACTACTGAAATTATGCCTTATAATTAAGAGTGGAATTCAGATAAACGTTAAATTTATTTGCATTTTGGAAAAGCTGCATGCAAAGCAAAAGGTGAAAGTCAAAGTACCAGGTCTACAGTTGCTTCAAGAGGTCGCTTCATTGCTTTGGCAGTCGATTGAGTCTTTTTAAGAATAGGCAGCGAGCACATGATGGCAGTGGCCAATGGAATTCAAGCGAATTAACATACAGGTAAACAGCAAGCAGAGGTGCGTCATGGGAACGGCATTGCATTGTGGATAGTTGAGAAGGAAAAAAATATTCTGAATGCAAGATACAACATACAGAACACTAGACATGCACAACAACAGAAATACTTCATCATCTAAAGAAATGAACGTTACATCTTGGATTAGTACTGAAGCAAAAAATGCATTTATCGTAATTTAGTTAAAAACATATAAGAATAAAACAGATGTTTGGAATTTAGGAAAGTTGAACAAAGTAGCAGCTTGCAGACAAATAAGCATCAGTAAGCTTTTATACTACGTAGGAAAGCAGTTATTGCAATGATTTTCCTAAACAAATACTGGTAAGTTAGTTATGCCATATTAGGAAGCATACATTAATTTCCAAAAATTAACAATCAAAATTGAAATCACAGGAAAACAACATTTTAATGAAATGAACATATATATAAAACCTAGAAAGATTAATATTATTTTAAAGTCTGTTTTTTACTGAGATCTTTAGTTAATGTTACTTCTGATCTTTAATTTATCACATTCAGTATAGTATAAAATGTTCTCTAATTTTAACTGTATTAGGAACCACGGATTACCATGTTAAGTAGGAAAAAATGATTACACATTTTGTTTGGGGATTTTAACAGAATAACAGAATTGGAAGGGAGCTTCGAGGTCTTTTAGTTCAACCTCTTGCTCAAGGAGACCCTATACCATTCCAGGAAAATGGCTATCCAGTCTCCTCTTAAAAGCCTCCAGTTATGGAGCACCCACAACTTCTGAAGTTCAGCCATTCCACTGGTTAATTGTTCTCATTGTTAGGAAATTTCTCCTTAGTTCTAGGTTACTTCTCCCATTGAATAGTTTCCCTCCATTGTTTCTTCTCGTTTTCTGGTGCTTTGGAAAATAGCTTGTCCCGCTCTTCTTTGTAACACTCACTGCATAATGAAACACTGATATGCAACCCCTAGACTTTCTTTTCACTAGACTAGACATACCCAATTCCTGCAACTGTTCTTCATACATTTTAGCCTCCAGCCCCCTCATTTTGTTGCTCTTCTCTGTACTCTTTCCAGAGTTTCAACATCCTTTTCATAGCGCGGTGACCAAAATTGAAAATATTGAAAACTGAGTATCCCAACATTGGTCTTATTAAGGCATTATAAAATGGTACTAACACTTCACATGATCTTGGTTCTATCCTTCTGTTAATGTGCCCTACTTTACATTGGCTTTTTTGGGCAGCTACAACACATGCTGGATCACATTTAAATAATTGTCCACTAAGACTCCGAGATTCCTCTCATAGTTATGGCTTTTGAGCCAGGTTTCACCTGATCTATACCTGTATATTTGTTTTTTCTTGCCTAAGTGTAAAACACTATTTTTCTCTACATTGAATTTCATTTCATTTCAGGCCCAACGTTCAAGTCTGTCAAGATCCATCTGGCTCTTGAACCTGCCTTCTGGGGTGTTGGCTATTCCTGTCAGTTTGGTGTCGTCTGCAAATTCGATGAGTTTCCCCTGTATTCCCTCATCTAAACAATTTATGAAAATATTGAAGAATATTGGGTCTAAAACAGAATGCTGGGGTACTCCACTGCTTACTCCTCTCCATGTAGATGTAGTTCCATTAAGGGCTACACACTAAGTGCAGTTAGTCAACCAGTTACAAATACATCTGGTGGTGATGCTGACTATCCTACATTTTTCTAACTTACTAATAAACTCTCATATTCTGAATTTTGTACAGATGAAGGAGAGTTCTAATTAACTTTTGTTCTCTTCCAGTGGGGATATCCGTAATGCTAATCTGCACCATTTTCTCAGAACTCACTCCTCAGTGATTCAAGTGTCTACTAATCTGGATCTGTTTGCTTAAAAATGTCTAGTATTGATATATTATAGATGTATTTTCAGTATTGGCACAAATGGTTTTGTTCTCAGCCAAACTGTAAGCTAGCTATGCAAAACAACAACACATTAAACAACATTATAAAAAATGCTGTGTTGGATCAGACCAACGATCATCTAGTTCAATACTCTGTTCCCACAGTGACCAATCAAATGCCTATAGGGAGCCCACAGGGAGGTCAGGAGAGCATTAAAACCTCCTAATAGTTGTTCCCTAGCAACTGGTCTGTAGAGGCTTACTGCTGTTGAGTACTCTAGAGTCATAATGCCTAGTAGCTCTCATTTTATCCTTAGAACTTTAAACAATTTTTAATCCAAATTGGCCCACATCTTTGCAGCAAATGGCAGCAAATTCTAAAATTTAACCACCCACTGACATGATTAAAGTGATTTCAGCAAGATATCAACCAAAGATAACTTCTCTAACTTTAGAATGGTGATGAAAGGAGTCCTCACACAAAACAAAAATATAATTCTTAACTTAAGCAGTGTTTTTAAGCTTACACCTGTCAATTCCTATTTTGAAAACATTAAATGCGCCTTCTTTTTAAACAAATTCCTGTAAAATTTTATTGTTTCATGGATTTCTATTTATGTTTAATTATGTTTTGTTATGTTATATCAAATTATGTTTGATCATGTCAGTCTATCTAGATTTCTATTTAAAAAGAGGCAGATGTTTGAGTGCTGATCCCTAAAAGCAGATATCAATAAATGTCATATTGATTATAGACAAATTGGACAGTCATTTGTCTAGAATGGCATAGGGTAGGGGTCTCCAAACTTGGCAACTTTAAGATTTGTGGACTTCAACTCCCGTAATTCTTCAGCTAATCATGCTGGCTGGGCAATTCTGGGAGTTGAAGCTCACAAGTCTTAAAGTTGCCGAAGTTTGAAGACTCCTGGTATAGGGTCTCCTGCTTGGGCAGGGAGTTGGACTCAAAGACTTCCATGGTCCCCTCCAACCCTGTTATTCTATGTTCTATGATTCTGGTAGTTTTAAGAGCATTTTGGAGGCTTGCAAGAAGCTACTAACAATATTTTTCTAACAATATTTTGTATGGTGGCTCGATGTACAATCTGCAGTCTACCATCTATTATATAAAGTAACTACTGTACATTTGTTTTATTACTTGCCCTATGGCAAGAATAAGGACAGATTTTTGTACTGGGGATACTTCATTTCCTCCTCATTTGAACATTCTGCTTGTGTTATCTAGTATACTAAAAATAATTTACTCTCACTAACCAAATAAATTACCATAAAGGGTCCACTTATAGAAAGGGCATTATCAAGGTAAAACAGCTCTCATCACTTCTAAACCAAAAGAAGTTATTTTTGTAAAGATTTGTAAAGTAGAAATGTTTTGGTCATTAAACTGATATTCCTACAAGGTTTTAGGACAGGAGTCTTCAAACTTGACAGCTTTTAAGACTTGTGGACTTTAATTCTCAGAATTCCTCCTCCAGTCATGTTAGCTCAGGAATTCTGGGAGTTGAAGTCCATAAGTCTTAAACTTGCCAAGTTTTAAAATCCTTGTTTTAGGAAGATACAGAAAGCTATCTGTTTAGTACTGTTTGTTTGAAAACTTAGCAAAACAATGACATTTTATAAAGCCAAAGATAGATACAAACAGTATAATTATTTCACCCCCTTGGTTCTTGGGACAATGACTAGATGTCAAAAATAATGAAGTTTACAAAAACTCCAATAGGTGACAATGTGATTTTTTTCTTTTTGGAAAAAGGAAGAAATACAAATGGTGGACTCAAAAGATCATCCTAGCAGAATAATATCACAACAGAACCTTCAAGATTATCCTTGTAAGGTATAGTGAGTGATTGGGCAAAATTTCTTGCACAGGTTTCCTTCCTGGGATTCAGTCTATACAGAGAATACATATCAATCTATCACAAACCGTATTTCTACCTAATCTCTTTTTCAAATTAGTTTGAAAAAGAAGACACCCAGTAATTTGCCCTCAGTTTAAAAGACATATGAATGAATTCATCCACCCTTCCTTTCTAAGGTTTTAATCATTGTAGTCACTGTGTAAGATACCATGACTCCATTTGGAACAGCCAACATGCAAATTTAATAAATAAAGACCTAGCTAGAAAACTGCATCAGATATTTTCTAAACCACCATGTGTATGTAAGTCAGCAGACCAATTTATCCAAATTTCAAAGCATTCAAGCGAAAAACAAGTTAATCTTTAGAAATAAGAGCCTGTACTAAGTAGGGCAGTTAAAACTTGAGCTCGACTGCATTCCAGGAAGATACTCCTTGTTCTGAAATTACTGAGTAAAACAGATTTCCTGGGTTGCTAATTCGTAACAAAAATCCATCTTAAAAGTAGCCATCTCAAGGACTTAAAGGACCCCGTTCCCCTTGCACTCACCATGACTGTAGCAGCTGTAGCAGCTGCCTGGGCCACTACTGCCGCTTGGTTTGTCTGGTGCTGAGCTGCTTTGATTTTGGCCTGTAAGTGAGCAGGAGGGTGAAAATATTTGCATTTTTCCCTCAGGCAACGCCCTTTTATGTAATCCATACAAACAGTTACAGTGTTGTCATTTGTATCAATCATTGTGCTGTCAGCAGGATGTGCAAAGCGACAATCGGTTTCACCCCGTGCACAATTTCCTCTCTGGAATTCCCGGCAAACCTGGGGAACAAAGCAACATTTACTATGCACATGAGCGTTAATTACACACCGAGCACAAGAAATAATTTAAAAGGCAATTTTTGAACCCGTGCCCAAATAACCTCTGAAAATTGTTAAAACCTTTAATCTCAGTCTATAACAGGGCTGTCAAACTCATGGCCCCTGGGCTGGATGTGTCACACGCTGGCCACACCCATGCCCGGTTTAGTAAAGGAGGGAAAAAGCCCCATATGTCATGTGACTCCGCGAGTTTGATGCCCCTGGTCTATAACACAGGCTCCACTATTGTATAAATTCTGCATGGATCTTGAATCCATCTGGGTCCTTGATCTCTTAGTGACTTTTAACATTATCAACTGTGGTATCCTTCTGGAGTAACTCAGGGGTTAGGAAGGAGGATGTGGTGTTACGGTGCTTCTCCTTCCTAATGGATACGTTCCATTCAGTGTTGACAGGGGAGACAAGTTTAGCCCTAAACTCTGCTTTTTGGGGTTCCATAAAGCGCTGCCCTCTCCCCACACCGTTCTATATGAAACTGGTGGGTGAAGTCATTGGATGCCATGGAGGTAGGTACCATTAGTATATTGAAGTTGTATATCTCAACTTCTGACTGACAGAACTCAAGAAATAAGCTCAGATTTTTCATATGTAACGGTCACCTCTCTAAGAATGGAGAACACAAAGGTACTAATGGACTACTATTAATTGAACTTAACTGGTTTTCCCTTAGTTTATTATCTCTGTTTCCAAATTAATGTGAACTACAAATTACAAAATAGATTACAATTGCTGCAGAAACAATTACTAGGCCATGAAAAAGTCTGAAGAGATGATTTGCTCCAAAGGTGATTCAGGTGACCACTTTAACTGAATTTCTAACCTTTCGGAGCTCTTCTGTTCGTGTACAGAAATCACTCACCCTAAACTAAAGCATCCAGTCAAGATTAACAAGACCTGTGCTGATGTTTCATGAGGTAGAAGATCTTCTTACCTTCTAGTGCAGGGAAGTCAAACTCAATTTCATTGAGGGCCGCATCAGGGTTGTGTTTGAACTCAGTGGGTCGGAGTGGGTGTGGCCAGGGTGAGCGTGGCCAGCTTGAGGTCACTTGTGTCAGCGGCTCCTGTGGCGGCCCAAATGCTCTGCCAGCAGGTTCCCGAGCTCCCTTTTGGTAGCTGTTTGCACTGGCAGAGGGCTGCAAGAGGCCAACACGGCCAAAATGCAGCCCTCCCACACTCCATTTTTGTTGGAGAAGTGCCATGGGCCAGTTCTTCGCTATTTCCAGGGTGGTCACAGTTCTTAGCACTCCATGGGCTGAAACAGCCTGCGGGCCTTCAGTTTGACACCCCAGTTCTAGTGCTAAGTGAAATGTATCAAAGCTTTGCATAGCCATGATAATGAACTCTGCACTTCTTCAAGTCAGCACAATTATGACACCACGGTTCCGGAACAGAGGATCTGCATTGCTTATGCTAAGTAGCCAACTGAAATGAAATGGAGTTTTCTCTATATTTAAACATAGTCACTGTGTTTATTCATAATCCTATATAACCAAATACCAAATACTAAATGTATCAGAAGAATGATGCTCACGATACCTCCAGTTTATCTGTCCTGAGGAGTTTCTGTGATGTAGTTGATCCAGAGACAGAGACAGGATTTCCAGGAACAATTACAGATTGTGTGGGAACAATTTCTGTAGGAACCAATCCAACCCCAGAAGTAACTGGAGCTAAATATGGTGCAAAGTTTAGTGCTGGATTAGATCCTATTGTTGGTCCTACTGGAAATGATGGCTGAAAGAGAGAATAAAAAGGAATGATAAATAAGCATAAAGAAATGAAAAATAAACACATGTTCTGTGATAAATTCAATATCAAAGTTCACTGATTTATGTTAGCGGAGTCCACACACTTGCTAAATTGAAATAACCCATATTTTGACTTAAGAGAATGTATCAACTCAGTGCCTAGATCAGGGGTATCAAACTCAAGGTCTGCAGGGGGCCGGGGGCCACCCCTGGAAACAGCGAATGGCCAGCCCCTGGTGCCTCTGCCAGCAAAAATGAAGCTCGGGAGGGGTGCATGCGCCCTCCCGGGCCCCGTTTTTGGCTGTAATGGCCTCCTGCAGCCCTCTGCCAGCAAAAGCATGCACCCCCCCTTCCATTTTTGCTGGCAGAAGGCTGCACAAGGCCATCGCGGTCACCCTCCACCCCTGTGGTGCCCCCTTAAGAACAAACTCAACCCTGATGCGGCCCTCAATGAAATGGAGTTTGACATCCCGGTCTAGATATTTGTGGCTTTCTTAATAAATTAAAACTGAGTATCATGTTTTAATTTTGATGAACCCGTTCCAAAGGATTCTGAAACAGGCATTATCCAGGAAAGGTAAACTTCGTGATTCAACATGAAAGTTTTGGAGCCATGTTCATCTTTGAGGGAATGAATGCACATTGCACATATATAAATTAAAAATAATATACTTAATGTTGCATATAATAACAGCTGCGAGATTGGTTTATGCCCAAAACTGGAAGAATGATGATACCCCCGTTGAAAGCGAAATAATAAAGAAAATATTAGTCTGTGCAGAGATGGACAGACTAACTCTAGAAATGAAGGATAAGGGTGAAACAGAGTATTATGAAGTCTGGAGCAAAATATAACAATGGCTGGAGTCAAGGAAAAGAAGAAATTGTTGATGCGTTATAGGAATGAAGGTTAAAGTTATGTAGGCTAAAGAAAATGAAATATAATGGATGATTATGATATGAGTATTAGGATTATAAGGGGAAAAGGAGATGAAAAAGAAATTAGGTTGTAAATATGTATATAAATGTAAATAGAAACGAATACGTAACTAGCATTAAATTAACAATGTAGGAAAAAGGAAAGATCAACTGTTATATCTATTTTATGTTATAGTATGTATGGCCAAAATGATTGCCAAGAAAGTTGCACTGTGTTTAATTGTTTTTAATGTTTACTTAATAAAATTTTTCTAAAAAAAATTAAAAATAGAGAAAGGATGCTTAATTAACCAAAGAATGGCCACGTAAATTTACTGAAACAAAATTAATTTAGTGATAAAGTAGCATGTCTTGCTAATACAAACAGGATAGTTGAGGACATACCTTGATATGACCTGCTGGAAATAAATCAAAACTATAATTTAATATGCATGATTATGCTACATGTTAATTCTTCTAACAAGGGTGAAAAGATTTATACATTAAGGTCCTTTCTAATGTTATTGAGCACAAAAACATTGAAAGTTAGAAATTTTAAACATACATGAATTACTGCTTAAATGAAAGCTCTGCCTTTTTACCCCAAGTCTAGAATTAAGTCTTTCTTAAAGGAGAAATAGCATCTGAAAAACGTTACATTTCTGATCCAAGCAGTATATAAATAAAGTGTGTGTGTGCGTGCGTGAGAGGGAGGGAGGGAGGGGGAGAGGGAAGGAGGGGGAGAGAGAGAAAGAACGCTCATACGCATCTTCAAGTCACTGTGGACTTCTGGTGATTGCCTGAAAAGTTGTCTTGGCAACATCATACAGCTGATTTCATGCCTAAAGCCATATTAAAACTCCTGGTTTCTCATTTAATACCTTAATCACAACCCCAGATTTCTTACCATTTTTACTTTTAATGATTTCTATATTTCGAAAAGTTTCTGGATCACTTTAAGATTTTCACATCACAGGCTACATTTTCATAACTAATTATTCACCAATCCCCATAAATAAATTAGAAAGGTGTGCAAATACTATATACTGTATTTATAAATATATGCATACATGTGATAAGCAAATTAATATATAACTTATTCAGCTTAACTGAATCTCACTATGTTTTTCTTTGTAGTTTATCCAGAATAAACTGGCTTGTCCCCCAAAATGCAGACAGTTCAACAGCTGCAATAAGATTACAAACAGAAAAGGTTCATAAAAACGATTTATACATTTTTACTGGACAATATTGGATGACAGCCTGTTGTAATTTATAAATTAAAATTATAATAAATTCATTCATTTATTTATAATGTTAGTCAGATATCAGCTATGAAGAATCAAGCATTGGGCTGGCATTTCATTAAAAGTACTGACCATTGGCTGAAGAGGTGCTCCTGGGAATATAAATTGCATCTGCTGAGCCAGCACTGCTGCTGCAGTTTTCTGTTGGATCAGGTTGTTCCTGCCATTAATTTCTAGCTGAGTTTTCAAATGTGTTGGTGGATGAAGATATTTGCAGTTCTCCCTCGTGCAACGGCCCTGAAAACGATACAAAATGATCCATTTTGGGAAATTTTATAATGATCTGTAATTATAAAGCAGCTATTTCATATCCTCCAAATTAGCCTTTCGTATAAATCAAATAGTATATTGGACTGAATTGCTCTGTTGACATTTCTTGGTGGCGTTACACATCTGTTATAATTGCATTATGCATTTTACCAAAATTAGGTGGAAAGTATTCCCATATCTTTTCTTTTGTAATGCCCTGTAGATATAACATATTACAAAATAATGTTCATCACATTTGATGAAGTTTCTAATGTACGCTATAAAGAAGAAGGACAGAAATAGAATAGGAATGCACTAAGGCAGATTTGAATCCTTTTCCATGGTCTTTCAAAACTTTATATGTAGCTATCCCCATCAAGATTGGCAACAATAAATTCAAACTTTTCTCCCAGATGTTGGAAATGTAATAAGGAAAAAGGAACATACTATCACTTATGGTGGAGTTGTAAAGAGGCCCAAAAATATTGGCAAAATCTACATAGATAGAAGAAATGTGTGGAAAGAAAATAGAATATCGACCAGAGTTCTTTCTGCTAGGGATCAATTCGAGGAATTATGATAAAGAAAATATATTTCTAATAATCCATGCAATAACTGCAGCAAGATTGGCGTATGCACAGAATTGGAAAAGTAAAGATATCCCAAATGAATTGGATATATTGGGGAAAATCATGAGATGCGCAGAAATGGATAAACTAACAAAGGAACTAAAAAATAAGGAAGATTTTGATTATTATAAAACATGGGACAAATTTTATGGTTCGTTAGAGATGATGAAGATTCATGTAAATAAGGAATGATTATATGCATAGTTAATGTATACGGAATGAAATTATGTAATATTATTACTCAATTTAGCAAAGTAATGACAAAGATTGATGTTAGGAAGACTACCAGGCTCAACATTTTTATTGTAATTTTTGTTTCTGTTTCTGTTTAGTAAAGGAAATTTTTTTTAAAAAACTTTATATGTAGGCATGAAGATGAATGAGAACAGAACTGCATTTTCCAAACCCATTTGAAGGGCTTTATAAAAAGTAAATTTCTGAAGCTGACTTTCAAAATCTGTGGTGCTCACACATTCAAAAACTTATCTCAGAACAATTGTGTTGTTTAAGTAGTATAGTGTATAGTAGCTTAGGGTAGGATAGTATAAGTATAGAAGGGGAAGGAAAGGAAAGGACAAGATAAAAAGGCAGAAAAGAAAAAGGAATGAAAAGTAGAGAATAAGAATGACTTCCAACTTCCTTTGGTACAAATGTAGATTTAAAATATATCAAACACTCACTTTAAAATAGCTGTAATTCACACTAATTCTATAATCCCATATAGTTCTTATCAAGTCCCAAAATCACAATTTCATTTCTTTCATTTTCTTGCAAAAAGTCCAAAAGTGGTTTCTTGATAGAAACAAAAATTGATAAATCTTTTCTTTAAACAAAGCTGTCAGTTTCTTCCATTTCTGACAATCCCATCGGCTTAACCATCTATCCTTCCATTTTTGTGTACAGATAGTCCTTGAGTTACAACTACCATGCTTCTCATATAATAAGGCCGGGTCTTTTTTTTTTTTTTTGAGCCCCGAAAAAAGGGCTAGGCTGTCTTTTTTCGGGGATGACTTAATTCCCACCACCCCCACTTGCATCTTCAGGCGGGTGGGTGGCAACGGCTTGGATGTTGACCTTGGCGTTGGTGGGGCACTTCGTATCGGGGTCAACGCAGGCAGCACCATATCCGGGTGTGCAACAAAAGTACTTCCTAACGGCAAGCCCCCCCCACCATTCCCATGTTTTAATATAGGCCTTAATTTGGAGGGAGGGGCTTAATTTCATTTCATGCCTATAAAACATGCTGGGACTTCCTATTGGGGGAGGCCGTATTGTTGGAGAAACAGGGTACAATGGAGCCCAAAATTTATATTGCTAAATGAAACAGTTAAGTGAGTTTTGCCCCATTCTATAACCTTTTTAGCAACCGTTGTTAAGTGAACAACTGCAGTTGTTAAGTTAGTAACATGATTGTTAAGTGAATCTGCTTATCCCATTGACTTTGCTTATCAGAAGGTTACATAAACTGATCACACGACCCCAGGGCCCTACAACCGTCATAAATATGACTCAGTTCCCAAGCATCTGAATGTTGGTCATCTAATCATGGGGATGCTGCAATGGTTGTAAGTGTGAAAAATGGTCATAAGTCAGATTTTTCAATCTGTTTGTCCATTAACTACAAAAGGAAAGTCTCTAGTTTCAACTGTACATTTCCTTTTAATATCTTCTGAATCAAAATATATATTTGATTCCTACATTTTCTAGTTTTCTGACTTGTCCACCAAAGATAAGAGTGTACCCTCAGTGTTCTTACATTTACAACGAATATTTAAAATCCAATTATGCATGTGGAGTCCTTGGTCCTGTCTGACCTTGCTGTTGTTTTCCTGCATGTACAGGTGAAACTCAAAAAATTAAAATATCGTGCAACAGTTCATTTATTTCAGTAATGCAACTTAAAAGGTGAAACTAATATATGAGATAGACTCATTACATGTAAAGCAAGATAATTCAAGCCGTGATTTGTCATAATTAAGATGGCTTACAGCTCATGAAAACCCAAAATCCACAATCTCAGAAAATTAGATTACAGGTAATCAATAAAACAAGGATTGTACATAGAACAATATCAGACCTCTGAAAAGTATAAGCATGCATATGTATTCAGTACTTGGTTTGGGCCCCTTTTGCAGCAATTACTGCCTCAATGCGGCGTGGCATGGAAGCTATCAGCCTTTTGCACTGCTGAGGTGTTATGGAAGACCAGGATGCTTCAATAGCTCTCCAAATCAACACAGACTGTGGAAACTTCACACTGGACTTCAAGCATCTTGCAGTATGTGCCTCTCCATTCTTCCTCCAGTCTCTGGGTCCTTGGTTTCCAAATGAGATGAAAAAGTTGCTCTCATCAGAAAAGAGGACTTTGGACCACTGAGCAACAGACCAGTTCTGTTTTTCTTTAGCCCAGGTAAGACGCTTCTGAGGTTGTTTCTGTTCAGGAGCGGCTTGACAAGAGGAATATGACATTTGAAGCCCATGTCCAGGATCCGTCTATGTGTGGGTGGCTCTTGATGCACTGACTCCAGCCTCAGTCCACTCCTTGTGAAAGTCCCCAACACTTTTGAATGGCCTTTTCCTGACAATCCTCTCCAGGCTGTGGTCACCCTGCTGCTTGTGCACCTTTTTCTTCCACACTTTTCCCTTCCACATAACTTTCTATTAATGTGCTTTGATACAGCACTTTGGGAACATTCAACTTCTTTTGCAACTACCCTTTGAGGCTTTCCCTCCTTATGGAGGGTGTCAGTGATGGTTTTCTGCACAACTGTCAGGTCAGCAGTCTTTCCCATGATTGTGATTCCTACTGAACCAGACTGAGAGACCATTTAAAGGCTCAGGAACCTTTTGCAGGTGTTATGGCTTAATTATCTGATTAGAGTGAGACACTTTGAGCCTAGAATATTGAAACTTTTCACAATATTCTAATTTTTTGAGATTTGGATTTGGGGTTTTCATGAGTTGTAAGCCATAATCATCTCAATTATGCCACATTATGCCATCATCAGCTTGAACTATCTTGCTTTGCATGTAATGAGTCTATCTCATATATTAGTTTCACCTTTTAAGTTGCATTACTGAAATAAATGAACTTCTGCAGGATATTCTAATTTTTCAAGTTTCACCTGTATGTTTTTATCCAACTAGATAGCATCATCAGTTCTAGAATGGAGTAGAGTTTGCTCTCTGCTTATATACAAGCTCCTTGCCCTGTCAGTGTTGGTGGCAGTTTGTTTTCTTCCTGATACTTCCTTGATTAAGCTGTTGTTTACTGTTTGTTTATCTCAGTTGATAGTTCCTTGATTGGGGTATTGATTAACTGCTTGATTGTTGGTCTGGTATTAATCCTGTTGATAATTTCTGTTTATCTGGTTGTGGATTGCTGGCGAGGAGGTTTATATATCTTAGCACTAATATGGTCAGCATTTCTACACAGTGCCACATCAAATTCAGTCTTACCATATTCAAACTTATAGTTCTTTTTATCAGATTTTAACCTTTCCATTAACTGAACACAAGAAACCAATGACATATATAACCTTTCAATTCTGGATCCTCTCTTGTTTTTAACTTAAATTCTCCTTGAGAAAAAAATCAATACATCAGCATAAGTTAGCATTTTTCTTTAGTTATCATTTCTCTTCTAAAAAAGAGAACTGACTGTCCAATCCAATAGTGCTTGGATCCTTTCCTGGGGTACAATCACTACTGGATTTTAGAAAACAATCTTGCCTTATACCTATATACCAAACTCTCAATATGACATTTCTAATAAAGTGATTTTTAACATCTACAATTTCTCAAAGTCGCGTACTCCTTGTACATTCTAAACAACAAACTGCAAAATATAATTTCAAATCTCATAGTCCTAACATCAGTCATCAATATGGGTATTGTTTGAAATCAAATGACCATTCTAGTAAAATGTTCATCTTAATCATATTCTTCCCAATAACGACAATTGCAATTTTTCTCATCATAACATATCTTTTTTTAATCTTCATTCCATATCATAATTATTTTGAAATCACATACAATTCATATTAGTCAAGGTAACACCCAAATATTTAACCTTTTTCTCAATTTTAAAACCAGACCATCTTGGTACAATTGTGACTTTTTAGGACCACATCTAGTTTGGGACTATTCCATCAACTTGTATATAAACTTCACATTTCTCAGAGGGAATGACCTGTTCTTAATTAACCCATGTTGGTTTCATGTAATCACCTAGTACCTTCATATGAGCTTGTGAAACCACTGTCTTTCTCAGGATTTCCTCAAGTGCTGAGGTTAAGCTGACTGGTCTCTAAAGTCCTGAGTCCACTTTTTTTTAAAAAGTAGAAAAATGGCTGATAAGAATACTGGATGCAGATAAATACTCACAGATGCAAAAAGAAAAAGGGAAAAAAAGGATCCAGTAATTCTCATTCATTTTTCAACACTTTGCTTGTGCAATTTAAAATTTTCTACATCACAAATTTAAAACCCGCAAAAAGGAATATATTACAACAGCTGAAGAAATGAAAGCATGTCCAGTACTCTGCCTAATACCGGTACCAAAAGGCTGTGAACCAGTGGTGGGATTCAAATTTTTTTACTACTGGTACTGTGGGTGAGGCTTTTTACTTCTATTGTACAGGCAGATGTTCCATAATCCATCATAGTTCAATGCATGAATCTAAGATTTACTTATATCAGTTTTTCCCCCGAATGCTATCACTCTGCTAAATAAATAATTCTCTCAATAGTGTCCAACTATTTACAAAGTCTGCATTACTATTACTATTAATCTTCTCATCACTCCTTATCACCCATCCCCTCCCACTTGTGACTGTATGACTGTAACTTTGTCACTTGCACCCTTTCGATTTATATTGACTGTTTCCTAGTATGATTTGATTGCTTATTGTACCCTATGACTATCACTAAGTGTTGTACCTGATGATTCTTGACTCTTGACAAATGTACCTTTTCTTTTAAGTACACTGAGAGCATTTGCACCAAGACAAATTCCTTGTGCATCCAATCACACTTGGCCAATAAAGAATTCTATTCTATTCTATTCTATTCTATTCTATTCTATTCTATTCTAT